TGCACTCACAAAATTGGTTGGTAAATTCAACGAGTGGGTGCATCGACCTGGTATATCAAGTTTCTGCAATTTTTTACGGCAAATCAGTAGATTTTCGGGATGTAGATTGCTTACTTTCAATTCATGAATGAATAAAGCAACGACATGGTTGAACTTCTTTGCATGGAAAGACGTTTAAAATAACAAAATCAAGACGTATTTAATGCAATTGCATTTATATCGAGTCAATTTCTTTTCAATAATATAACGGGATTTTTACTACCGGTGATTTGGGTATTTTAGCCCCAAAATACCTTTAAATCGACTTTATCTTCTAGGAGTTCGACAGAATTTTTCCTTTCTTCGCTTAAATTATTCCGTAGCACTTTTCTTCAAGAATCTGATAAGATTTTGCTTGAGGCAGATCAAAAAACTTAAATTCGATCGAATAGCTTTCTACTTTCACAATACACGGTCTCGTCAAGGTGCGTCTTTGACCTCGCAGTGTTGGATCATGAATTCTCTTGTTGTGCTACTTGCCTATTTTGAAATCTCTGTAAATGAAAACTAAAGGGGTTGATATGTGTGAGTTAATGACGCGCCTTATCAACACATTGTGTTGGAGTTCATTGCTTGTTTTTCTTTTGCCTGCATTTTTCTCCCCATAACAGCATAACTTTTTTCTCTCTTTTGGTTTTTTCTTCTAGTCACCGAGTAATCTTAACTTATCCTGTAGTCTTCATAGTCTTTTTGCCGCTACTCTAAGTCATGAAAAGTAGAATTTCAAATACGGCGTATAAGAGTCATGATGCTTCTTGTAAAAGGGAAAAACATACCTTTCTAAGTTTAATTATATTTCATTCGTTTAATTTATCATTCTGTGCCAGTGTGCATTAATTTCATAGCTGCAGATCTGTAAACATGTAAATTGTAACCATCTGGATTTATTTGAAAGTTAGTTACCTCTCAAAATGACTTGCATGGTTTTCCTTGTGATATTCTCTGCTTTCTCTGTCGCATTATATTTGGAAAACCTACTAAGGAAATTTAGTTATGTCTCAAATGATTGGAAAAGAAAATTATTTTACTTTTCACATGAAGCGGAGGAGATTGTGTGATTTATTCACATTAAAGACTTCAAGAAGAAGATCAAAACCAATAATACTAAAATTCTCTTTCCTCAACTATAACCTCATATCATACAAATGAATGTGTTTGAACCCCAAAAAATGATGAAATGATCGTTAAAGACCTTAAGAGCAGTTTTGCAAACTCGCTCTTTGCCTCAAGTTTTCAGAAATTATACTTTTGGTGTTTAAGCTGATCAATGGCTAGAAACAAGATAAAGTAACTTTTCACCGTAGTAAAACACACGAACACCATAGTAAGGTGTGGAAATAATGAATTTGCCACACTTCCCCCCCCCCCTTCTCCTTGCTTCACTCACATTTGCATTGTTTAGCAAAACAGTCATATCTAAATTGCAGTGTTTCAAAATCTCATCATCGGTTATGATTTTTTGGAAGGAAACCAACCAACATTTTTATGGGAAGAACCCTCACAAAGGCAAGAAAAATTGCAGTGGGTTTATTTGTTGGTCTCCTTACAAAAAATTAAAATATGAGATGAAATTTTGGAACACAGCAATGTAGGTGTGACTGTTTTGCTTAACTTTTCCATTTGTAGTGCTTAAAGCCCATGAAACTGTCCTGCTAAGGGAAAGCAAAATACCTGCGAAGAATAGGCCTTTAGAGAAATTCAGCTTCACAGTAGGCTCTATTGCACGATGTCTTATAAATTAGTTCCATGTTTACACCCATTTTTCGCACATTAATATTTTCTCAATTTTTGTCATCATTATTTTGTATATTCTTGTTCCCTCAAATGTGCCATGTGAGATTCTAAAATACAACGACAATCAATGGAACAATAGTTTATTTCCCTTGTGTGTCGTGCTCCTTCTTATCAAAGCAGAAAAGTCTAAGATCACTTCTTTTACCACATGAAGAACACCTCTCATTCTCTACAGAGTGATAATCTAAGAAACAAATTTTTTGTCCTGATTTTTCGTTGGATCGGATTTCGTTTGTTTTTTTTTATTACTGTAAATGCTCCTAAATCTATTCACTAAAAGTATTGCAAATGGATCAAACTTAACAGGGAAGAAGTATTTATTATAAGCCTTCGTTAATAAGAAGTCGACGGCTTAAGTCCGCAGTCACATTTCTTGTTTGCGATGTCTGAAAATCTCCGCCTCTACGTTATTTTTTTAAAGGAGAACAAATTGTCATCAGCCCTTGAAGGTGTTGCAGAATTTTCTTTGCACGGAGAAGAAAAATCACAGTAGTTTTAAAGAATTGCTGTAGAGTAGTTTTTCGTTTAAAAAATGAAGTATGACAGGAAGTCTGCAACTTCACAAACCGAGTTATGTGATTGCCGACTTACACTGTCGAAGTGTATTTTCATCATCCATATATTTTTGAGGAAACCGAATACACAATGTTACATTGAATACTCGAATTACATGAAACACTGGATGATCTTCTTGCACCCGATTTTCTTCGGGTGCTGGAATTTCGTCAGATTATCATTCCTGTTGAAATAATTTGGCTAGTCATTTTCTTTTTAAAAAGTTTACAATTGGTTTTGCGAAAAAAACTGGGTAAAGGTTTATGCAGATTATGGTTTTAGTGCCTACCGCTAATAGTGGTTTAGAAAGTTCTTTTCTGCCATATTTAAGCCAATTTTATCAGATCTGTAGTTGGACACATTTATTTACAGCATATTCGTCAGGAATGGGCCAGTATCCTCCACTTATTAATTCACTTTCCAAAAGTGTAGCATGAGCTGAGCCTCTAGGAATTTTTTTGGTTTTTTTTTTTACCTTAAATGGCAAGGAAACCCGGTCCTGAAAATGCAAGAATGGGACTCCTGTGAAACAATGTTTTTGGTAGCTCTGATGACGTAGCCAGGTGGAGGAAACGGCATTTGCTCAACTCAATTTCAAGCATCCCTTTGCTACGTCAACTTGACTGTTTACTTTTGATTGGTTGATTGATGTTGACAAGCTTTTTCACCACATAGGAATGATTTTTTGAACTTTTTGGTTTTTTCACAAAATTTTACGGAAAGAAAATTATCCTGCAACCCAGAAAAAATTCCTTTCCACTACCCCATTAATCGTTAATGACAGAGTCCTACAAGAAACAAATCTCCGACAGATCGTGACCCGTATTAAAGCCATCGAATTAAGCAAAATGTGAATTTGAAAGTTAAACTATTTGTTACCATGTATAAATGAAAACATACAGAAGAGTTATATTATGAGCTTGTCATGTCAACAGGTTTTAAGAAAGAATGAGAAGTGCCTCGCTATACAAATAATAAGCCTTCGTTATCAAGTCCCAAAGCAAGAAATTCAAAGGCCATTTAGTTTTCTTATTCCGAGTCCAGGTCTTAAATAATACGAATAATGATAGGTTGTGCAATAAGTCTCAGCATTTCTTTTGAATTCTTAATTGTATTTTACATGCTTAAACATACACTTATTGTGCTTCTTACACACCTTGTGTGTCCTTAAAAGTTGATACGTGAACTTTTTTCATGAACATTTTTTCGTTTTAAGATTTTGATTAATTACAATTGACCTACAATTTTCTAGTTTGAGTGTGCCTCTTTAACATAGAAAAATTATTAAAAATCTTGTTTTTCATGTTGAAGAGCCTTCTTTATTAAGCCCCAAAGCAAGAAATTCAAAGGCCATTCAGTTTTCTTAATCCGAGTCTGGGTTTTAATGTAATGGATATTTTTGTTTAAAGCTTCCTAATCGTTCAATGGCGAAGACGTGTATATTTCACTTTCTGTTTATGATGTTGTATTTTCACCTGCATTTTTTGTAATCGCACCCTTCCTATTTTAGACTATCATACCCCTTAATTATCAATGCCCTAAGAGAAATTTGCATGTTAGCTGGGTTCTTGGTGTTTACTGATTTGTGAAAACAAGGTTTGATGTCAAATTAATGAATGCTTGTTTTTCAAGATGGGAGGAACAAAAATAAAACAAGAGAAAGTTAATCTTGTGTATCTGCTGTCAATTTTGTGTTAGTATTAATAATGTTCGGTAATATTTTTTGATCTGAGAGACTGGAATTTTTGGGGAGTATAACAGAAAACTTATGAAATGTGACCCTTTTATTGCCCTCTTGAGGAAAGATGTGAAACGAAAGATTCCGATTTCGAAGTACATACCTGACATTGGTATCCAAATTTTTGCCATTCCAACATTATGATATTGAAACCATTTTTAATAGCATTTCGACAGCGTAAGTCTGTAACCACGTATCTCGTTTGCGGTGTTTGAAAATCTCCGCCTTTATTATTTTTTTAAAGGAGAACAAATTGACATCATTCTCTGAAGTTTCTGCAGAATTTTCTTTGCTTAGAGAAGAAAAATCACGGCACTTTTAAAAAATTGCCGTTGAGTAGTTTTCCATCTAAAAAATGAAGTATGACAGGAAGTCTGCGATGTCGCAAACTGAGATGCGTGGTTGCGGACTCACAAAGTCGATTTGCTCTCCTCGTTGCCTCAGGAATTCGTTGAAAACTGCTATGTTTTTAAGATGCTACTTCTCCATACGATGGAAATACTTTGACACATAAAACTTTAATTTTTTTTTTTAAAATATGTTTTTATCTTTTTTATTTTTTTTCCAAAATTTGCTCCCTGGATCAATGAACTCTCACATGTTCATGCAAACCCTAATCAAATTAACATGTTTGATGACACACAATTAACTATCTAAAACCACTGTTGCGACTTACCAATTTTTCAAAACCTTAGTATGTGTTATGTAGTTTCAGAATCTGGGCTGATTTTAAAAGTCTCTAACTTATTTTACTCAATTCTTTATTTTATTTATATCTCTTCTGGGGAGGACGGTAGGAGACTTCTCACCTTATGCTGATTGAGGTATCTAAGGAGAAAAAAAAATCAAGCACAAAACTGCCTCATTCAGATGTAACCAATTAAGTTAAAGCACCTACTGAACAAACAAATCATACTTTGAACTGTAGAAGTACGAAAATATTTTAATGACAAGCTCAAAATCAAATATTAGAAGTAGTTGTGTGCGCTAAGTTTCTGTTAAATTTTAAACCTTTTTGATAGCTCCAAACTTTTCAATGTTCTCTATCCAATCTTCTCAAGGAATTGTATGATTTTCATTATAAGAGGTGTATTTTATGTTTGATATCAATGGCTTTTTGCAAATATGCGTATCAATTCCAAAGTTTGAAAACCTCCGATCATGTTTTATTTTCCTCAAGGGAAGTTAGTGCCAATTTTCCTTGCAATTTTGTGTGATTTTTCTAGGATGAAAAAAGACGATTTCAGTAGAAACTTTTGGCCAGCCTTCTTCTAGTAAAATTGATAATGCATTCAGAGATACACTTTTTTCGATTTTAGCCATCAATATTTTGATCTCATTCTTTCACTTGGAATTTAGAAAGTCATAGTGATTGAAAATGAGATGTCAGACTTTGCTCAAACCTTGTTTTCTCATTGTGTTCCTGTACTTATTTTTCAATTTGTATCGTTATGGTTTTTCTCCAGATGAACCGACAATTAAAAAGAAGCACTTTAAATCTTTTCGAAGGAATATGAGCCAGCTGATGGATAATATGGATGGAACTCTAAATTGGTTGAACATGTTATGAATGTAGCCAGAAGTATTTTTCATAGCTCACAAATACTTATAAAGCCCAACTGAATGTTTTAAAAGTTCAGGGCTTCAGACGTAGATGTCATCAAATTAACTCCCAAAGTATTTTGTACTGTCTCTCTTAATCTGTAGTTACCAGTTGAAAACTCCTAGTTTAACGAGTCACCATTACGTGTAAAATTTCTCTCCCCTCCCCCCTCTCATTTTCTTCCTCGTCTGGCTCCCTCTCTCTTTCTCTATCTTCTTCTTTTCATCTCGGGCCGTAAAAATTTTCTCCAAAAGAGCTTTACTCAGAAACAGGAGAAGCTATTGTTCATAGATTTTTTTCAGGGGTGCATGCTTATTTTCTTTAAATTTAGTTGTATCCCTTGTATTGTTACTTCACCAGTGATCCCAATTATGTAATGGGTCAGTTGTGCTATTTACATATTCATTTTTGACGATTTACACTGATAGATTAGCATAAAATACTAAGATCCGTCCAAACGCGGAGATTCTGCGTTCAGTTTAAACGCAGATACCGTTCATCAAAAAACGTGGAGGATTTCCACTGTGCTGGCGCGTATCATGGTTTCTTCCACCTTGGTTTCATTCATGTTGCACGTCGAGCAACCAATGCAAATGTGTGTATCACTGATGAATCCAAGGTGGAAGAAACTGGTATGTAATACCACCATGGCTGATGTCATGTACCGTATTGTTTGAAGAGTGATATCTCCATTAATGTTGGTTGCAAGAAATTAGCGTTGGGACAGATCTCTCTATTTTTTGCTTTTTTATGAGTTTGAACCTTGAACCATTAAAAAACGATTCTATGACTAGCACAACTGACCCATTGAAAACAGAATTGTTCTAATGTTTATTTCAATTTTTTGTGAATTTTTTAAAAAATATTATAAACTGAAGAAAAATCTGAAGGCTAATTAATTAATTACTTAATTAATGCACCCTACATCTTTGATAATAATCAGAAAATTACAGAAAACTTCAACAGGCATTTTGCTTTACCTTTTATCTAAAAATTACGCTTCAAAACTTACTTCAACTCTGAAGTAACTTCGAATGTTTTGCTGGATTATTTTTTCCTAATCAGTTGTGAAGCTCATTAGCTTGTTTAGCGGATGTATGGATCAATTAAACACTTGTGAAATATTTCTGAGAGTGACAGAACATACACTGCACATGTTTACTCACGAAATGCATGGTTCTCCGTTAGCACGAAGGAACTTTTTAATGATGAGTTCAGTCGTAATTTTATTTGTCTAAATTTTATCTTTAAGTCCCAGAATATAGAATTACTTTGAATTTGTCTCTAAAGTGATAACAAAATAGATCTTCAACAGACTCCATCTCAAGAACCAAACAAACATCTCAGTAAGCAAAACGCATAGGTCATGAAATTTTCATAGATACTGCCTATATGTCATGATCCTCATGACAATCTAAGTAAAGTTGCATTTCTCAGAGGTGTAAATGGCATGTTCTCAGTCTTATCCTCATTCAATGAAGGGTACACGCAATAAAATGCTTGAAAATTTACTTTTAACCAAGCCGTAAATGCTGACAATAAACTTAGTAAAATCTATATCATTTGAATGGTGCCTTCCATCTTATCAATCTTAAGTGAGCGTGTGTAATTTTATATGAGTCAGAAGGTGGATTTCCAAACTTTTTATCATGTACAACTTATATCTCTGTATAAAGGATTTTTTTTCTATTCAAAGTGCAGAGGATCACGATGAACTGTATGATTTTTACTTTATTATCCCAATCCACTGCCGTGGTCCAGCCTGATCAATGCATTCCAGTGGGACGCATTGATCACTCTGCTGAGGTGGTCATTAAACCGTTAAGTGCATCTTAACATCTAGCTGATCTGCTGAGAACCACATGTAACCCGATTCATGATGTTCCATGCATTTAAATTAATTCCTTGATCCTGAGGAGAGAGTTCACATTCAACTTTTGTCAGTATTTGAGTTCATATCTTGTCCCCTCGTTCATTGCTCCGGTCATTTATTTTTTGCATTTTTCTTTAAGTTACTTGAGGTGAATTTTGGAAATAAAACCACAGCTCAGAAGAGCATTTCAAATTCAAGTCTGTGCACCCACATAATTGACTGCCAAACACCACCACTTGAAATTTCGCTTCTACTGTAGCAGATCGCCCTTCATTTTTCATGTTGTTAAGTTTTGTGGTGTTAAATTTGACAGAGGCTTCCATGTTGTATTGTTTTCACCACTTTTCCTCCCTTTATGATCCTCATAATATGTGTACTGTGTATAATGGGCTAAACATAATTGCCAAAAAGTAAATAGTTATGTCCTTTTTTAAGTCTGAATATAATTACAATCCTGTCACAAAAATGTTTGAATCTAATATGTACGCTTTGGTAGAAAAGTTGTATTTTGGCATCCTTGGAATCCTTTTATCAGTTTTAAAAATGATTTTCTTAGCACAGTGTAAGAGAAGAGTCAGTGAGTCAGTCAACTGCGTAAGTTATGTTGTAGATTTTCATGGTAATAGTGTCTGGTCTAGAAAGTCAGCATTATACTTCAGGAAATTAAATTAAAAAAACATAAATGTTTCCTTTTACACAGTTCAAACACATTTCTGCTGGTACTATCATCATTTTTATTGCCAAAAAACATTCTTAAATTTGATACTCTCTCAATGCTATGTAAAATACATAATTATCTTTGCTGTACTTTGCTTACCAAACTGCTCGGAAAAAAGTTACTTCAATAGAAACTTCAGTTTCTGTAGTTTCTCTCCCGAAAACCATCGCGACTGAAAAAAATCAGTAAAAAAAATGTCTGTAGCACTCTAGTTATCGGGTCATGATCTTGTATTTTCCAAGGGTGTCTAATTAAATTTTAGCCAAAATATTTTCTTTCTGTTGCACAATTTAAGGGTAAGTCTTTTACACCCTCAATTCTTACACTGTTAACCTCTATGAGCACAGGCAGACAGACTCAAAATTTACGAGGGAGCAGTCACCTGGATTAGAGGGCCCAAGGGGCAACTCTCTGTTCTCAAGCTTTTCTTCAGAAAATGTTGAAAATCTTGCACCTCCTTAATTGTGTTCTAGGCTCTATTATGCCTCTCTTAAAGTTTCATAAGAGGCCCTGAAGAACTAAAAAGATCTCGTCTAGAGTTGCGCTGATATCGCTTTTTTTCGACAAAATTTGTAGGGCAATTTACCTCCTTAGCCAGTCTGTCCCACACTACGAGAACTCAACATTATATATGTATAGCAGATTTTCATCTCTTGCTCGAAGGAATACTTATATCTCAATTGCGCTATCTCAGTATTTCTTCTCTACATTTATGTGTTTGTAGGGGAACAGTCACATGAATTTTCCTGAAATTTCCTGTGATTTTGCCTTACCCTTGTGAGAGGAGACGTTCAATTTTTCCGACAAATTTATGCTGCATGGTTCTCCCATGAAAAATTAAAATTTTCATAGGAATTCTAAAACAGCTCGGACGAGATACGTTCCTTCGTTCAAGACACAACGATATCATGACTTTTTGCCTCTGTCATTTCTTTCACTCGAATTTACCAACTTATCTTCATAACTTCTACCTCAAATTAATAAGCCTAAGTTTTTTTAAATTATTTAAGGGTACTTTTTCTTTCCTTTAGTCCATTATGTTTTTCCTAGTATCTTTATCAACTCACCCAGGTGTTAATGAATTCTTACCTCATGTGTAAACATCTATTATCAAGATTGATTTTCTCACATTTCTTCGCTATTTTGTCACTAATAAACTGAAACTTTAACGTCTCTCCTTACCTTTCACGACGGATCACCACTTTATGTATGCACAGATCTTTCTCTTTTCATAATTTCATGATTTTTTTTTCTTTGAGGATTAGATCTGTAAGAAAAGGTAGATAGGAAATCATGAGACTTTTTTCTTGTTTATTATTTTCTTTTCTTAATTATTGTGATAACGATGAGCAATATTTTATTTTGTAAATACCTGTCGGTCCTTGAAACAAAGGACAGTGAATCTCATTTGATTTTTATTTGCATCGCTCAGTTGAGCTAATGTTAGCAGCAAGATGAATCATCTTTTTCAGGATTTTTTGGTTTATAATATCTATTTCATAATACAGATTTTTAATTCATGAAGCTGCCATTGTATTCTATAGTTCGTCATGAAGCTGCCATTGTATTCTATAGTTCGTATAGTTGTCTTAAAGTTACTACACCTTTCCTCTCTTGCAACTGCTTTCTCAACCATCAATTACCGTACTTCTTGTATTGTCAGATATCAAATATCAATTAATCTATTGATGGTTGTTGCATACTTTTGAAATTTTAACACCTTTCTTACCTAGATTAGCAGAAACAAGTTAGAAAATCACATGCAAAACTGTTAAATTTTTCAATTTTTGTTTCAAAAATTTGTTTCATGAGTAAAATATTTCAATCAAGAACCTATTGAGTATGACTTAACAAGCAATAGTTATATACAGAGTGAGTCAATATTGGCAGCAAAGAGAAAATATTATAAAGAATCTCAATTCCTAACTACCTACTCATCTATTTGATTTTTTTACTATCTTGAGGAAAATAATATCTTCGGAGGATCATTTTCATTTATTCAAACAAGTAACTTCTCTGCCCAGTTATTCATTAGTTGATATTGTCTTGTAATACAATTTTCCTTTGCTTGTTCTGATAATTTTCTTCAAAATTTGAATAAATTTTATTTTTTGATCCTCATCAATCTCTTTGTTTTTAAATGCTACAAATAATACCCTCCTAAAATCTGTTGTATTCTCGCAAATCGTTGGAGTAATGTCTCTAATTATCTGATATTCATCTACATCATCTGCTCACTTCCAATACTTTTTGACAAAACCCTCACTCTTAACCATTTCATTCATTTGTTTTCCTTTAATTTGAAATTGTAATGAGGAGGGTAAATTATTCCTGTCTTGGTCTGAGAAGGAGAGGAGAAGAGGTGTATTTAAAGAAAACTGATCCACCAGGACGTTCTTTTTCTCTCTCCAAGTTTTTAAGAACCACTTCATCCTGTATTTTGAAATACATTATTTTATTTTGTTTTCATTGCACAGCCGCATTCATTTCATTATTCAGTTTCTTTTTTTAAATATCTACTGCTGAAAAAAAGGCCTCTCATCTCCATCTAATTTTGTTTTAATTGCTACCTCAATCAATGCTTACATTTTAACTGAATTTTTTAAGAATACTCTGCAGCTTACCATGGGCTTACCTCTAGGTATATTTTTTCCTCCCTCTCCTTTACACCCTCCGGCCAAAATAATAGAACTTTTAATTGATGCTGGGTCACCCAGAGCTCTCCTCTATGTCTGTTTAAGTTGAACACCAAAGCTACAATTTCATGAACATGTAACGTATATCAGACATTTTGGCACTTAGGCAAACCTTTCAATTCCCACTTGGTTAGTTCTTTTGAGTTCTCTATTCGTAGTTTTGTAGGCTCTCTTTTTCTTTTTCTTCCTTTTTTTCTGCCAAAAGATTCTAGCCTCTGTTCTACCAATATTTTCCTTTTCTTTGTGTTACATGATTAGTTTTATGTCATGAAATTGTATTTCCTGGCTAGATTTCTACGCATTGATCTTAACAGAAACATTAGAATGAAAAAACCAAAAAGTTCGAAAGGCATCAATCGAGAACAGTGTCTGGGTGGTCAGTTCATCGTAATCTTTAATTGGACGTATTTATGCTAAAAGGAACTACGTTGCACGCAAACCCTATGCGCATAGTTCCTTTTGGCATAAATGCGTCCAATTGACTGTTAACAGAAACGCATCTAGTTATAGCAAGTTTCAATCAAGAAATGGAAGTTTGAAGTTTTATTCCTCTACAAAACTTAGTGTGAAGGACAAAGTTTATGAACTATATTCATGTTCAAAATGTTCTTCCTTGACTTTAAATTTTTGATGAGATAGAGTTTTCAACTAGTTGAATTCTAACTACTTCTGACTTGGTTTTTTCCAAAGTGCGACTAGGTGTGTCTCTTTTAAACACGGTCAAAGTTATGTCTTCATTTTGCCAGAAGAAAACTTCACTATTACCCACGAACTTTTCATTAATAAAACCGTCATGAAAAATCAAGACGGAATTTTCCTCTGTTGTCTATAAATTTTAGTAGAACTCTCCAAGTGTTCCATGACATCTTTCCGTCTCATTGCAGTGTAACTTGACAATTCTGTGTGAATGGCAGTTTTTGTGACTAGGTAATACTCATTCATCTATGTACATTCTTTTGTATCACAAATTTAAATTTACATTTGAATGTAAGGGTAGATTTGCCATAATTAATGGGTGATCCTTTTCTGCTGCCTATGTCTCAAATAAACTTGTTCAGAGTAGGAAAGTTCAGTCATCGTCAACTAAAGGAGGAAGTATTTTCAGAGAGCACTTGCTGTGTGCATACATTACACATCCAGTGTTAATAAAGCGTACTCCGAGTGTCTTATCTTAGCTGAAGAAGCAACCTTATGATTGCCAACTCTTATCTCCAATGTAGAGGGGGAGTGATGATAAAATTTTGATGGCTTGGTTGTTGCATTACACTGGATGCCATCATTATTTCCTGTTTTAAAAGTGCGATGGGTTACTATCAATTTTCTCTCATTTTAACATTTTTGTGCAATGTCCAAGCTTTATCATTGCTATGGTAACACAACTTTCAAACTTATAAATTAACTCTTTCGCTGGTAATGGTCTTCTATTTTTTTTCTTCCTAAGCCTAAACGCCACCAGTCCTTTTTGTTCTAATATCACCAATCCTGTTATCTTTGATGGTACAAATATTATCAGAGTAGTCATTGAAAGAGTAAAAAGCACCCATGCTGTTATTAGGCTGCAAGAGGGGTTGCTGTATTTTAGTTATACCTTTCTCTCTCACGTTAAGTTGAAATTTCCTGAGACATTGTAACCTCATGAGGGCAATATATTTCATCTGAAAATAATTCTCAGGTACTAATTCATGTACTAATTGTCATGTTTATATCCTTATCTCTATGCTCTCATCTTATTTCTTCTTCATCTGTCATTTTTTCCCCAAACTTCTTTCCGCTTTTTGACAGATTACATCCTCTTCTTTTAATCTCTAATGCTCAAGCATCCAATTTTCTGTTCTAACTGATTCATCATTCTGAAATTAATCAATCGATAGAATACTCCTTTAATATTTATTTACTCATCTACTCAAGCTTTCCTAGTTCACATCAAGTCTTCTCAAAATCATGTGTTTCAATGCTTTTCTGAGGTCAAGTTTTTGACTTTACAAACTGGAAATTAATTTACTTACCCGTCATACTTGGCGCATGGCATGAATGTAACCTATAGAAATATTTATAGCAAAGTACTTAAGATTGACATGATACTCCTACTTTGCTGTAAAAACGAATCATTAAAACATGCTTAACCGAACCAAACTTCTCAAAACTATCAGCTAAAATTTGTAGTTGACGCTTTTCCCTAAGACATGAAACCTCCTCAAGGCATTTCTCTCCTAAAAGTAGGACACGGCAGGAAATTTTGGTTGAGATGCTCTTTAAACTATTGAAAGCATTTTATTTATGACTGACTGTTTGTTTCTAAAGTCTGTCTTCTGCAGGGGATCATAACTCTATTCTATTTAAAGATGTTTGTGAATAACTAGAGATCTCCACTACTTCAAACCTAAAACGTTCTTCTTTCTCAGTTTGTAATATTAAATGGAGAAATTTTCCAAACTTCTGAGTTTTCAAAAATACGATTCACCTCTATCTTCTTTTTTCCTTTTAATTTTCCTCCACTGTATACGTCTCTTGCCATCCAACTGAATCAAGACAAAGGTCTAAAATTTAAGTTTTTTCAGCTTGTATGCAGAGTATTTATATTCTGACTTGAAATAATAATGTTTGAAAAGAATTTGAAGGAATAATGAGTGATAATAATTGCTTACTAAAAATGATAAAACAGAAATAACGAATTACAATTATTTTGTCTGCCTAATTCCTTGACATCCTCGGCCTTAAATAATAGTATTTTTTACATAGTGAAGCAGCACTCGATTATGAACCCTATCTGATAAAAAGCCATTACTACTAGGAAATAGTGAAACTAGAAAAATGAACCTAAAAAAAAGTAATGCAGATTCCCCATTGTAGGTATGTATCTCACTTTTGTGGAGCAGGATAGTTATCGTTTTTGCATACAATTTCTTTGAATTTTTCTTAGTATTTTCAAGAATATTTTCTAAAAAAAATTAATGAATAAAATCGCCAGAAAATAATTCATAATTGCTAAATTCTTTTGAAATACTCGAGTTCACCCATATGTTTTAAACAGCCACCATGATTTTCACCATCACAAGGTATTACCACTCTAGTAGATTTGATTGAAACCTATGAACTGGTGCTTTGCGCCTTGAGACAAGTTTAGTTAAACACATTTTGAAGGAGTCAATATTATTGCAAACAGGTCTAATGCTTGAGTTATTTGAATCCTCCAATTTTAATCAGAGATTAATTTACAATATCAGAATTTGGAATTTTTTAAAATTAGAACTTTTAAAATTATTATGACACAGCTAATCTTTTAACAAGGTGGAGAATTGGTGCTGGGTCCACACCATTCCGCAGGGAAACAAAGCCAAGAAATACCAAAAATTAAAATTAGAGTCAAAAATAAATTTTTAGAACTCTAATGCGCACCAATACGAAACTGAGGGGGGAGAGTGTTCAGCTCAGGCAGTTTGCAATGGAATATTAAGTTGGAGTCACGCCGAGAGATCTATACTGGTTTGGGTCTTATTAGACCTCATCAGCAGATCACTAATCTAATCTAATCTTTTAATGATGTGTTTATTTCTTCTGGCAACTTTAAATAGTCCTTTTTTTTTTTTTTTACAGAAGCCCAAGATTCGGCGGACAATTATGGAACAGAATTGGATCAACTTCGTTCAAGTCTGTTACGGACAGAAGAAGAGAAATCTCGCCTGGAGTATGAGTTAGTGCAGGTAATTTTTTCAAACCCCAGTCTCCTCTTTACCATCTCCCATTCACTTAGTATTAATAATATTTTTGAAAAATATTTTATATTTTAATAATTTTTGTTGAATAAGTGTTGGAATCTAATGTTGTTCATTGTTTTACCCTGAACCCCAAGGTTTCAACCGCGTCATATTTGGATTACATTTCAGAAGAATCCGTACAAATTTGGCTCAGTTCTCAAACAACGTATGTGATACTTGTTTTTTCATACATATAGGTGTTTTTACGTATGAGCCAGAAATTTCAGTCCTTAACTACAAATGTAGTCTATTTTGAGGTCCTCGATTCTCTTTCTCTATTTTTTCAAAAAAATTTCTGATGCATTTGTTAAACTAGTAGAAGTAAACACATGTTTTCATGGGTCTCCAAAACTTAAGCACCAAATATTTATTTACAACTTTTGTCACTATGAATTAAAACTCTTGCTTATTTATAGAAACAGAAACAGATTAATAATTCCTTTATCGGTAGTCCAATTCATTTAGTTGTCAGTTAATGCAAAGTGCCTCTATAGTTGGAAATTTTGTGAAAAAGGAAAGTAAATTAAAAAAACCCGAGCACATAAAATAAATTAAAGTAAGTTTTGATGCATTTATTCAAATTTGTATTGTGAGTTTGAACTTTTTAATTTATGATTCTCTTTTCTTTCATAAGAATTCAGCCTACAGTCAGTTAACTCCTTTTTCCAATTAGT